CCTTTGTTTTTTTCGCTCGCTTTAATCAGCTTCGTTAAGAGAACGACTATTCCGCTGGAAGAGCTTACTAGTATTCTCTCGTTTGACAAATTTATTCTTTCACTAGTAATTCTGTGATGTTGATTTTGCTGATGATTTTAATGAAATCTTGAAGGAACTTTTTCGAATGCTGATAGGCTGCGAATGTTTATGCAATAATTGAATAATTTGAACTTGAATAAAACTCTTTTCTCTTTCATTAGTCATTCTATATTACATATATATTTTAGTAATTTCATTATTAATAATTTTACGAAATTATTCCTTTTATATAATATAATTTGAAAAAGATTCGCTGAATCTGCCGAATAGTTGTGAATATTTATGTAACTTGCGGATATTTATGTAAGTCATTGAACTGGAAATTAAACAAAAATCTTTTCTTTTTAAGTAGTGATTCTACGCTATGTATTACTATGGTAGTTTTGTTATTAATAATTCTATAAAATTAATTTCTTCAGTGTAAAAATTTAAAGGAATTTTGAACCGAATTTTGGCTGTAAATAGGCTGCGGGTGTTTATGTAAATCAATGATATGTAATTTAGAACTTGAGTAGTATTCTTTCCTCTTTTATTGGTAATTCCATATTTTATATTAGTCATTCTGCTATTAGTAACTTTATGAAATTATTCTTTTAGTATAAAAATTTGAAAGAAATCTTATTAATGATGAATGATTGTAAATAGCCTGCAAATGTTTATCCAAATCAATTACAACTTGAACAAAATTCTTTTCTTTGTTATTAGTAATTTTATATTTCATTTTGGCAATCTCACTGTTAATAATTCTACGAAATTATCGTTCTTTCAATGTAAAAATTTTGAAAAAATATCCATGCATGTTTATAAAAATCAACTGGAATTTGAACGAAACTTACTATTGACATTTCGCATATCTGTAAATACTTGTACATTTTTGTCATAAAATAAACTGCAAATTTCCCAATTCATCAATTGGAAATTTAAAGAATAAAATATTCAAACTATAACGCTCTTTACAATATTGAATACTTGAAACAATTTTATAAAATCCACAGTCTAGTCACAAATACTCGCAATTTGACTTTATATTTGGAGGAAATCTTGATGAGATATAGAGAAAATAGGAAATTTTCTCGAAGATTACAAATCTGTCCCCCTTTCCACTTCACGATCGCCAGATTACAATCTCAGTCAGATTCATGTTGATTCAATTGCTACTTGCTCGTGTTTCATAAAGATCTTCATTCCTCCATAGGCATATTTTTTTCTCTTTCTCTCTTTTTTTTTTTCTTTATATAAGATCTCGTAGATCATTTTTCCACGTGCTTTTCTCGATCGACATATTTCCACCTTTTTTTTCTATCCGCTAAAACATCCCCTTAGCTCAATCGCCTTCATCGACAAACTTAGGGTCGAGGATTATAATCTTCAATGTGATCTTGAAGTCTTTAAATTTATGATTTTGTACATAGTTAAAAAAACAAACGTTGTAAATATTTCTGTACATATCGTAGCGAATTTTCTTGGGACAAAGTATCCTCGAGTTTTTGACTTCTAAGATTTCAAGATGGCCAATATTATTATTCTTCCTTCTTTTCTTCAAATGAAATTTGAATCAATTGGTTATTTAATTGAATTAATTGAATTTAACAGAGTGCAGTGACAAATCTAGATAGAAACGAAAGGAGATTGTTGCTTCTTCTTAAATAGAAGACGAGCTTGAAAAGGAACTTCTAAATCTCTCGAATTTGTTGGTCTTGAGTCCCTAAATAACTACAAATTATTCCCTCTGAATTTTAAATTGTGTCGCATACCTCTTACAAAATCTTCCAAACTTGTACGTCTTTCTAAAATATTTTTGCTTCCGTAAATATCGGCGTAATGTTTCCGAAAATTCTCAAGTTATTTGATACGATCTTTTCAAGCCCGTCTTGTCCATCCCAAAATGATCCCAAAGCTAATTGTGAGAGCTCGACCGGAGGCGTTTGGGTTAAGCGTGCAGCTTTGCGTTTGCATTTGCGACTCCCGAGTTCGTTAACACCTTGAAACCTGGTTGTTCAGGCATGCTAACCCATCTCAAGCGCAGCATACCGGACCTACGTCAACACAAGATCCATCTTCAACCGCTGACGAGTCACGATTACCTTGCCAAGCAGAGTAAGTATCCATTCGGCAGAAGTAGACTTTGGCCAAGTATCTTTCTTCTCCCCACTGCCCCCTCTAAATCGACAGAACGAACGCACAACGTTTACCTCGCATATAATCAACTGGCTGAAGAGAAAAAGGCGGGTCACGATTATACAATTAAGTCCCTAGACTTAACATTTTTTACAAGAGTTTTTCGACCTCTTTTTATTTTCCTTTTCTGTCTCTCAGTTTCTCTCTCTCTCTCTCTCTCTCTCTCTCTCTCTCTCTCTATTCTTCTCTGGCACTGTTTCTTTCTTTTCTGTTCCTCGTTACCTACCTGTCCCCGCCCCCTCTTTTCTTTTTTTCTTTTTACTCTGGAGATAAGAGGCACTTTTAGAAGTTAGGAAGGCTCGTGTGTGTGTTCCAACTTCCCGGGTCGTGGTACTGATTCTGTGCGTGGGTTTATCCAGTGACCACGCCGTTGACGAAACCAGCACGAAGAAGCTCGGCCGCCGGTGAAAGCTGCCTCAGCCAGAACGCCGTGCATCCAACGTCGACGACATCCAGTCACTATACCACGCCATCGCCACCGCAACATCCACAGTCTCATGGTGCGTGGGATTCTGTGTTTCTGTGTTCATCGTGTCCCTTATGATGTCCCCGAGTCACCTCTTTCTCGTGAACCCTTTGTGTGTTTGTATCGTGTGGAAGGAATTTTCTTTTCTTTTTTCTTGTTTCCCTTGGGAAATTGCAGCCGTACGAGACGAAATTGCAAGAATTGCTAGAATTGATATATGTAGATTTATTGTCTATTTACTTTGGTGGTGTACAATAGCGGAAGTCCATTAAACTCGTTTCATTTCAGACGATTGTATTGTATTTTCATATGGCAAATTTATATTTTTAATATGGAGAAGCTTTACGATATTTTCTAACGTGTTATATTACGAGTATAATTTGTGCACTATTTTTAAATTTCGTATAAATATATGTTACAGGTTGTATATTTTGTATAAATTTATCATAAAAGAAAGATGTTTAATAGAAGAAGCAGAGGATAGAAAATAAAAGCAAGTAAAAAGAAGGAAATATTTTGTGAACTTAAAATTTGCAATTTAGAAGATCCATTTGATAGAAAAATAATATCTTTTGCTATTCAGATAAAATAAATAGAAAGGGAATTCAATTCAGAAAAATTTGGAATTATTTGTATTAACTGTATCTACGTTAAATTAGTTGATTTTATTATTATTCGATATTAATATAGATAACAATATTTTAAATTCTTCTCTATTTTAGCATATTTTAAATATGCACTTCTGTTTCATCATTAATAATCCAGATTTTCAACCAGCCGATAATACTTTTGCAAAATTTATTCAAAACGTCGAAAGAAAAATACTTGACTTTAGAACAGAACTGGCCAAATAGATTTCGAGATTACTTTACCAATTGCATTGATTGATGTAATTAATTTCAAACAATCCAAAATCCTTCAAATTCCAATTGGACGGATTATTCATCGAATTATTTCGAATTTCAGGTGACTTTCAAAGTGGACCAGGCCGGCCAGTAGAAGAGATAAACGCGAGAATAGACCAGCTATCGCGACAAGTATCCTCGCTGGAGCATTCTATGGGAGAGAACATCAGGTTGATCTTGACTCTGCTGCAACAGACGCTCAACTCGTCGAGGGAAAGTTCCAGCATCGAGATGATGCCTGGAACCACTTCCGCTGGATTGTCGAAGCAAAGTAGTAGTAGAGCTCCGGCGTTGGTCCAACGATCGGCCAGTGAACCACAACCACCGACAGGTCCGCCGTCGAGCAATGGAAATGGAAAGCTGCAGCCCAGCACGTCTCACAGTTTGTTCAGGTGAGTATTCGCGATTCACGGTGAATTAGAAATTCTGTGGTTCTCGCGGTAACGTGGTGAAAAAGAGTGGCGATACTAAATGTAAAAGTATGAAGTATAAAAATATAAAAAAAGTATAAAAAAAAGAATTAAAAATATATATTGGAATAAGAATTATTTGAATTTTGGGAAATTTATATACAATTATACATGTTTGTGATAAAATTGACATCTAATGATAAAATGAAGTGAGATTCGTTTATTTTACTATGGGTTTTTGGAAATTTATTTGTTTATTGAAGTTTGTCTATTAAGTGTAGAAATTAATTCTGTGCTTATTGCATTAATCTAAATTCGAAATAATAATATAATGCAAGTGTAATTTCAACTTTCAATTACCAATACGAATTTTCTCTGTTCAATTTATTATTCTCTTAGATGTAGATTAATTTTATTTTAAAATTACACCTAAGAGAATAATAATTAAATGTAGATTAATTTTAAAATAAAATTAGTTTTAAAGTAAAATTAATTTCCACATCTAATATACATAGAAATTTAAAATTTTTAGATTAAAATTATAAAAATTCGTTTAAACATTTTGACGTCTATAATTTTGTCTGAAAATTTTAAAAGAATGCCATCTTTTTCACACGTTACCCTATTGTTAAATTGTTTGTCATAGCAGATGTAACATGTGTCTTTTCTTTCTCTCTGTTTCTTTCTTTCTCTCTTTTTCTCTTTCTATCTTTCTCTCTGTCTCTCTCTCTCTTTCTGTCTCTCATTCTCTATATGTGTACTCTTCTTTCTCTTTCTCTCTGTTTCTGTCTTTCTTTCAAATCGACACGCGATCGATATTTCAGGAATCGTAGACAAAATCGTGCTCTTTCAAATCATTATACTCTCTCTATCTTCTATCTTTCTTCTACGTTTCATTTCTTTTTCTGTTTCTTTTTCTTTTCTTTTTTTTCCTTTGTGTCTTTCAAGTAGAAATTGATTCTGTTTTTCCTAGGAAGTAATCGATGTTTTTATTCTTGGAAAGCTTTCTTTCGAAATCCCTGGATCAGTTGCATTTGATTTCGGCGTCTTTTATTTTGGAAAGGTTGGACAAGTTCCGAAGGTGACCATACTCTCTCATACTCTTCTTTGAAACCCTTTTTTTGCGAGCAGTGTCGCGCAAGTAGAAACAGAATATAGGAGTTGTATACTGTGAACATTCAAACCAATACGAGCAAAGAAAAAAAGAAAATGAGAAATTTGCGTGAAAAAAAAGAAGTAACGCTGCTAGTATTCCTGCGTTTTCCAAAATTACCGCCAGCTTCAGTTTCTCACGTTGTACAAACTTTGAATAATCTCACTGTCTCTCTCTTTCTCTCTCTCTCTCTCTCTCTCTCTCTCT